AGCCTCCTGGGCTGTGGTTACGTGGGGCATACGTGTGTAAAATTCTATCATGCAGTACATTTAAAATGAGTGCAGTCTGCTAATAAAGTAAATAAAAGGAAAAAATGATTAAGAAGCCCTGGCTGGGCCTGTGATCCAGATGCGGGGGCTCTGGGCCCCAGGATGCTGACCCCACCCAAGCCTGGGAGCCTGGGCCACACGCACAGCTTCCTCTTTCCCTGGGCACCTCCTCCCAGAAATGGGCTCCGGCCTCTCACCCTGAAGGGGCTCTTGCCTCGCCTCTTCCCCAGTCCTTGATTACTCCTTCCCCAGCCCCCCGACGCCTCCCCCAGGACCGGCCATTGCCCAGACCTAATCACTGTGCCTCTCCTCCCACAGCCAGAGGACTTGGACGCCCCCAAGACGCACCACTTCAAGGTGAAGACCTTCAAGAAGGTGAAGCCCTGTGGCATCTGCCGACAGGCCATCACCCGTGAGGGCTGCACCTGCAAAGGTGAGCAGCTGGTCGGGCCACGGGGCTGGGAGCGTGTCTGCACGGGAAGGGCACGGCCTGGGGCCCACCCAGCCTGGGACTCGGCTTTGCGGATGTCCTTGGTGTCCCAACCTGGTGCCTGGGGTTCTCATCTGGGAGGGGATGCTGAGCACACTGATGGCAAGTATGTGGATGGCACATGTGGGCGACAGGTGGCATGGAAATGGCGTGTAGTTTGTGGGTGGATGACTGGCATTACGTGTGGACGGCATGAAGAAGGTATATGAATGGCATACAGATGGCATGTGGATGGCATGTGCAAGGTGTGTGGATAGCATGTGGTGGGGTGTGGAGATTTTGTGAGTGGGGTGTGGTTGGCCTGTGGATGTCATGTGGTTGGCATGTGGAACATGTGTGGATGGCATGTGGATAGTGTGTGGTGGTGCGTGGAGGGCATGTGGATGGTGTGCAGAAGGTGTTATTGGATGTGTGAGTGGCATGTAGAGGGTACGTGGGAGGTGTGTGGGTGGCATGTGGAGGGCATGTAGATGGCACATGGAGGTTGTGTGGCTGCAGTGTGGGAGGTGTGTGGGTGGCGTGTGCCTGGCACCAGGAGTGCTGCAAAGATGCCTAGCGGCTGATTAGGGGTGTGTTTAAGAGGCCCCTAGTCAGAGCTGTGGGGGCACCTGCTGGCCGCTGGGTGTTTCCCATCACCGTCCTCGTGCTCCTGGAATGGCCTGGCGGTCAGCTGTCGCTGCTGCCAGAGAAGTCGCTGTCTTGTCCCGGATCACACAGTGACATCAGCAGGAGGCTCCACACCCAGCCTCGGCGGCTGATGCCATCACCCCCCAGTCGGCCCGCTAGAGGCCTCGCTCTCCTTCACCCCCACGCCCCCTCAGTCGCCGGGTCCCCAGCACAGCTGGACTCTCTGAGTTTCTCTGCAGCCAGTTCAGGCTGCTGGCATCTCTCTCCTGGGGACTGACCGCGGCCCCTTTGCCCCTGTTCCTGGCCCACCCTCTTGGAGCCGCCGTCTACACCGGCTTCCAGCCGGACTCCATGTGGATCCTGCTCTGTCATCTCCTGGGTAGGGCATTGGGGGCCCCACGACCTCAGGACAAAGCACAGACCCCTTCCCAGGGCCGCGAGGCCTGGCGGGACCCACCCCTTCCCCAAGTCCGTGCTCAAACCAGCTGCACCTCACCCTTTCCCAAATATGCCAAGTATGTCAAACATGCAGAAGGGGCCGGGCTCTTGCGCCCTGGAGCCTTCGCTCACGCGGTTCTCTCCACCTGGACTCTCCTGTCTGCCTTCCCTCCATGCCATGGTCCCAGTGGGGCTGGGAAGCAGGGCATCAGAGGCTAGGGAGCAATTATTCAAGCACTGACTATTAAAGCGCTCACACCCACGACCTCATGCAATGCTCGCGGTGTCCGGGGGGCGCTGGGGTTGCCCCCTGTTTTACAGAGGAGGAAACTGAGGCTCAGAGTAGTTAAGCTCTTGCCAAGGCACACAGCCGGCTGGGTCGGAGCGGGTTTTCGGGGTGTGTGCTGTCTAGCGGAGGGAAGGCTTCCTGCACGAGGAGCTACAGCTGGCTGGTAGGGGCTGGAATGGGTGGGTGGAGGAGAGGGAGTGAGTTTGGGAGGGTGGTCCAGACGAGGCCTGCCATGGGCAAAGGGCAGAGGTTTATGGTCTTCCACCAAAGGGCTGGGACACCCAGCCTGAGTTTAGGGCCAGCAGGAACCGTTGCAATACCAAAACTAGCCGCGGGGTGTCGCCCTCCTCCCGGCAGGTCTGGCTGGGGCTGGCGCCGGTGCCGGTCCGGGGTAGGAGCTGGAGGAACTTCTGCGGGTGGGGTCTGCATGCTGCTCCAATCACTGCCCCCCACTGCCCGCCCCGTGGACCTGCCTTGGCTAGCCTCTGGCCCTCCCCCAGTTCCTTCCTTCCTTCCTTCCCCAGCCGGGCTTCCCTTCACCCCAGTGACCCCTGTGCTACTCTGATAGGAGGCTGCACCGGGCAGGGGCAGGAGGAAGTCCTGGCATGCTCACCGGGTGACCTTGGGCACATCTCTGGCCGCGTATTCTGTTACAGTCTCTGGTCCTAGGTTCTCCAGTTGACATGACTGGAGAGCCTGGGTTGAGGAGGCATTTGACCCCATGCGAATGGAAGGTGCCCAAGGTGACCCCGGCTTCACCTGGTTGGGAGCCGGCCCTGCTGGTGTGAACTGGAGTGGAGGGCAGGTGGCCAGTGGGCTGCCAGGCTGGTTTGGCAGCTCTGGGTGAGTTAGAGGGAAGAAAGCCAGGGCCACACTCCAGAGGCACCACCAGGTGTCAGGACTGGGTCATAGAAGGACCAGGGGCGGGCCCAGCAAGGGAGGAGGGAAGACTCCACAGGCCACATGCTCACCCTCAGCAAGAGGGTTGGGGTCATCAGGCCTGGGGGCAGCGTTGGGGCTGCTGGGCTTACTGGTGGGAAACGCAGGAGTGGACCTACTCTTTGTGCTTTGGAATCAGGAGGCCATGGTGGCATGAGATGGACAGACTCCCTGATCCATCCACTCACTCACCCGCCCATCACCCACCCACTCATCCACCCATCCACCCACTGACCCACCCATCCACCCACTGACCCACCCATCCACTCACCCACCCACTGATCCACCCATCCATCCACTGACCTACCCATCCACCCATCCACCGACCCACCCATCCACTCATCCATCCACCCATCCATCCATCCACCCATCTACCCACCCACTCACCCATTCATCCATCCACCCACCCACCCATCTACCGAGGGCCATCAGGGATGGTTGTCCAGGTCGTTCTCTCGCTGAGGGGGCCATTGTGGACTAAAGTCCAGGCCATGTTTTATTCACCAAGCCCAACCCAAAGGGTTTGCTTGGCTCTCTGGCCCATCCTCCAGTCTTCAAGATGACCCTCAGGGTTGATGGCTGGGGGGGATGGGGACGGTGGGCTGTATGGACCATCAGGGCTCTGTGTTCAGGCTCCATGGGGCCTGCAGTGTTGCGGGAACTTCTGCTGCAGGCAGGGGGCAGGGAAGACGCTTCCTGGGGTCTAGAGGGACCTGGCATTTGTCCCCTCCCCCTCTGGCTGCCCTGCCGCAGCTGGGACAGTTCCAGGCCCTGCCCTCTGCTTTTCGCCATTCACTGTAATATGGCTGGGGGGGCGGGGGGTAGAAGGTGGGAGTGGGAAGGCAGGCAAGGAACTGGGGTCGAGTCCTGGCTCTGGGGGACTCGAGGACGAACGAGGCAGACAAAGAACTGAGGTGGCGGGATGTGCAGGCATGAGAGTGACAGATACAGAGGCAGAGGTCACCGGCCAGCCGTCTACTTCGCCGAGCCTGTTCCCCGTGTGCCGTGGGGTTAATGATAAACCCCGGCCTGCGTCTCTCAGGGGCTGGCTGTGAGGAACACTGAGGCTCTGTGTGTGGCTGTGAGTGTTGGTGTCAGGGACTCAGGCTCCCTGGGGGAGACGGGGCTGGATGGGACAGTGGGAGGAGAAAGGGCCCAGTGCCTTTGCTGGTGCCTGGGCTCTGCCACACAGGCCCTGTGACCTCAGATAAATCACTTCACCACTGGGGCCTCAGTTTCCCGATCTATAGATAAGGGGCTGGGCCGGCAGTGTTCACTGAGGCCCAGACCGTGGGAGGGCCTGGAAAATTCCCTTGCTGGAGTCTGCAAAGGCTAGATAGCACTCCCAGTGTAGGCTGCCACTTTGCCTCCTGCATGCACATGGACATCCATCTGACAATCATGAACTGAGCTCCCTCTGGACTGGATGCTGTGGCAAGTGCTGGTGCCAAGGCCCACCCCTGGCCGGGGAAGACAGACGTGCCATCAGACAATCACAGAACGTGGTGGCAAAGCTGACAGAGAGGTGTCTCTGACTTTGCAGAGGTTTTCCTGTTGGGCTTCAGCAGGGAAGGCATATGTAGGCTGGGTCTTGAGGGGTGTGTAGGAGTTCCTCAGTTCCAACAGTGGGTTTCCCACAGGTCCCTGGGGCAGTGCTCTAGGGAGTTGAGGCCTTGCCCAAGGGGTCTCTAGCCTCCTGCTAGGCTGAAGTCCCAGGGAAGAGAACAGAATGCCACCTCAGGAGCCCAAGGGCTGCTGTCTGGGCCTGGATTGGGGCCTAGACTCACAACGTTTCCCCTCTCCATGCCTCTGGTCAGCCTGGAAGTGGGGACAGTCACCTGCAGTTTCCTGAGTGGGATGCCCCTGGGGAAGACAATTCAGCTCTTATTGGGCAAGCCTACCCAGAAGCCCTCACTGGTTAGATCTGGGGAGACCTTGTTTCAGGGAGCTCTTTCTCATCTGTTGCTTCCTCAGGGATCCCAGCTTCTACTCTGTGTCTGAGGACCTCTGAGGAGTCCTCAGAGGCAGCCTGGTAGGGTGGGAAGACCCTGGGTTCTTGTCCTGGCTTGCTCCTGCCTGGCTGTGTGACCTTGGGTGAGACACTTAACCTCTCTGGGCCTGGCTTTCCCCTTTCTTTAAATGAAGAGTCGGACTAGATCGGAGGTTCTATACTGTGTTCCAAAGGAGCTGTAAGGTTCTTTGGAGATGCTTTAGGGGCCTAAGGGGGAAAACAGGAAATCCAAGGGAAGGCTTGGGGGGCTGGGGCCCCGGCCCTGCCCGCTCCAATCAGAGCAGCTCTGCTTTCAGGAGTTCCATGTATCAGGAGGCAGGATGGTGCGGTGGTCTTGCACTGGGCTCAGACGTCCTGGATTCCAACCCCAGCTCTGCCCCTTTCCAGTGAGAACGTGGGCGGGCGGCTTCACGTCCGTGAGCCTCAGTCACCTCACCTTTAAAATGGGGCACAGAGCAAACCTCCCTCCCCGGCGACTGTGGGGATTAAAGGGGATGACACACACACAGTGTTCACACAGAGCCCGCACAGAACAGGCGCCCAGCAAACGCTGACCAGCATCCCTGGGATTCCACGCAGGGGTCCATCTGCACGAAGGGTTTGCTGCAAAAATGCCTGGAAACGACTGGATGGGACTATCTAGAAGGTTTCTTCTAGCTCCAAGCTCAGAGCCACACTGCTCATTGCCCCTGAGACACCTTGGATCAGTCAGGGCTCTCCAGAGAACCAGAACCCACGGGGTGCGTGGATGGATACGTATTTAAGGAACTGGCTCATGTGACTGGGGGGCGTGGCAAGTCCAGAATCCGCCGGGTGGGCCAGGAGGCTGGCGACCCAGGGGCAGGTTGCAGTTCGAGTCCAAAACCAGTCCACTGGCAGAATCCTTTCTTACTGGGGGGGATCAGTCTTTTTGTATTCAGGCCTTCAACTGACTGGCTGAGGCCCACCCACATTATGAAAGGTAATGTGCTTTACCCAAAGTCTACTGATTTAAATGTTAACCTCATCCAAAAAAAGCCCTTCACAGAAACATCTAGAATAATGTTGAACAAATATCTGGGTACCGTGGCCTAGCCAAGTCGACACATAATATGAACCATCACACGCCTCTGGGCCAGGCCGTGGAGATGAGCAGGGCAGGGCAGGGCTGAGGTCCAGTGGGCAGGTGGGCAGCTGAGCTGGGGAAGGAGCCGCGGCCGGCCAGGCGCGCGGGCGGTTATTGCTGGGGTCAGGTGCACACCAAGGCTATGTGCTCATTTTCCGACCCAAGGCCGGGAGGAAAAGGCCATTTAGATCCCAACAATGTTGGCTTCCTGTGTTCCGAGAGGCAGGAAGCCACCCCAGGAGGGAGGACGGGCAGCCCAGCGAGGTGGGGGCTGGCCAGGGGCTGGGGTCAGGGTGCGCTTCTCCAGCCGCAGGTGACCCACGGACTCGGGCATCTGAGGGGCCCCGGGACACGGAGGCTGGGGTTTCCTGGCCCCGTTCCCCAGCAGTGAGAAATGGTGGGGCGGGCATCCCCATCAAGCACAGGCTGGGTGTGTCCTCAGCAGCGTTTGGGGTGTCATCAGGTTGGACCCGGGTGTCCCCCCTTTCCGGGTTGGAGGGAGGGGACCGAGGGTGGTGCCTGTGAAGCAGAGGCTGGCTCGTCACACGCCGGCTCTCACAGCTGGAGGAGGGCTGGAGGCCTTCTGCCCCAGGGCCCTCGCGGAAACGCAGGCCAGTGTGAGACAGCAGGGCGTGGGGGGCACCCTGCGACTGCAGGGAGCTGCTCTGCGGAAAGGCATTCCGAGTAAGAAAATAAGTCTTTGCCCTTTAAACACTGAGCCAGCCCACGAAGACCAGGGCGCAGGCCCAGTGCATCCTGGAGGTTCCCAGCTGATTGCCTTATTTCCCGAGCAGGGGGCTGAGACCCAGAGAGGGGGAGTGACTTGCTTCAGGTCACACAGCTGTATGACAGCAGTCAGGAGGAGAACCCAGGTCTCCTGACTAGGACGTGGGGGCTCCTCCGTACAATAATAATAATGACGAAGGTGACGACGACGCTGCTGGTGACAGCGAGCCCTTCGATAGAGCATCCTCTGGGCCAACCACATATCTTCGCTCATTCCTTCTCAGGACAACCCTGGGAGGTAGATGCTGTTCTTACCCTCATTTTATAGATGAGGAAATGAAGGCTCAGAGTGGTTCAGTAACTTGCCCCAGGTCACAGAGCTAGTGCAAATAAAGGCTCAGAGTGGTTCAGTGAGTCACCCCAGGTCACAGAGCTAGTGCGTGACCTGCATTTGAGCTGGGAGCCAGTCTCCATGCAGCCAGGGAGCAAAGTGGGTGCATGGAGAGCGGGGCCAGTGGGCGAGTGGATGAAGGACGAGTAACTCCCTTAGTGCGCCCAGCCCCTCACCAGGCTCCATCGCAGGTGGTGTCTGTACCGAAGCGCTCAGGACACTGACCATGTCCCTGCTGGCCCTCCCAGGAGGGGCCGCAGCTGAAGAGTGGGGCTCACCCGCCTGCTCTCTCTGTCGTCTGTTCCGTTGCCCCAGAACGTCAGCCCCGATCCCAGGGGTTTCGGCTGGGGAGAATCCTTCCAATCTGAACTCGACTCCACATTCATTGAGCCCCATCTGTATGCAGACACTGTGCTAGGGGAAGGGGCAGGATACAACACTGCAAAGTTGAACAGGACCTCCTTTCTGCCTTAGAGAGGCAGCTGGATGTGGGGGAGAACACATCCTAAAGGAATACTTAGTCCTTCAAGGTGATGAGAAATTTCCAAGGGGTGTGAGCTGAGGATTCTGGGAACACAGAAGAGGGAGGGACCATCTTGGAATGCCTGCTTATCCAGGGAGGGACATTTTGAACTGGGCTTTGAAGGATGCATATGAGTTCACCATTCCAGACCTGCTCCTTGTGGACTCAAGAGTCCATTTGGGGAGTGTGGTGAAGCAGCAACAAATCCCTTTGGGGGCAGCAGCTGGACACGGAGGCACGACCAGGCCATGCAGGCCCTTATAAGTGTGCTGAGGAGCTGGATAGAAGGTTCTAAGCAGGGGTGTGATCAGTGTGCACTCAAGAGTGGTCTGTGACTCTGTGGATTGAAGGGGGACAAGGCTGCTGGGGAGATGCGGCCCAGGGCAGGATGAACTGGTCTGAACTGGTGCAGTGGTGGGGGCTAGGGAGGAAGGTTGAGATTCAGCACCCTCTTTGGAGGTACTTTCTGGGAGCCGATGACTAATTACTTGGGGTAAGAAAAGGGAGGGAGCTCCAGAGAGGAGCATGCAGGTACCCGGGGAGCGAGCAGGGACCCCGGAGATGGCCTCTGGTCTCAGTTTCCAGCATCGCTCTCTGGCCTCTTGCTTTCGGAGAGGTCCTGTGCTCCAGTCTCTGTATTAGTCATCTGCAGCCGAGTATAAATTACCCCAAAGCTGAGCAGTTTAACACCCATACAAAATTCTCCCAGGTAATTTCCGTGGGTCAGGGGTTCGTGAGTGACCGAGCTGGCTGGTTTGGACTCTGGGGGGTCTCATGACATGGCCGTCACGATGCCAGTCATCTGAGGGCCTGACAGTGGCAGGGTGATCCACTGCCAAGGTGGCTCGGTTGCGTGCCAGCCTGGCTGGCGCTGGCTGGTGCGGGAGGCCTCAGCTGTTCCCCGCAGGGCCGTGTGCAGGGCTGGTTGAGGGTCCTCAGGACATGGGGCCTGCCCCCCCACAGTGAGGGGGATCTAAGGAGAGAGGCTGAGCCGCAGTGCCTCGGACGCCTGCCCTCAGAAGTCGCACACCGTCATTTCCACAACACCCGACGGGGGACATAAACCTTCCTCGTCACTGTGGGTGGGGACTACAGGAGGTGTGCAGACCAGGAGGCGAGAGACCCTGGGGCCACCTTGGAGGCTGGGGGCCACACTTTCTCCTCCTGGAACACGCTGGAATGGGCTGTTGATCTGGGAAGCAAGAAGCCAGCAGCATGGCATGCCCAGGTTCCAAATTCCAGCAGGAAGGGTGCAGGTTAGAGTAGGAAGCACCGGCCTCTGAGAAAGGGGGCTGAGACTATAAAGGAGGCCTCCGCAGGGGGTCGGGGCCAGAGGGCCTCCTTGGGGTTGGTCAGGTGCTTGTGAAGGTGTAAAAATCCCTCGGCAGGGACCTGGCCACCCCCCAGCGCTGCCTGAGACCTGCCTCTTGAGCTCAGTTTGCGGAGCTTTTGTCTCGGGCCCGGGGGCCAGGGCAGGTCTTCCTTGGGGGCGGGAGCTCTCAAGGGCAGGCTGCTGCATTCCAGCACGCACGGCACTGCGCTCATTGTATGGTAGCTGCCCAGCGAGTGGCACTCAAGGGCGTTGTGGAGTGTCTGCCCGCTGGGCGACAGGCGGGGCGGCCCTGTGGGGTCATGCAGGCCACCACTGCCGAGGGCGTCTGTCCGAGAGGGCGCCGGAATCAGCCCCATGCCTCGCTCCCCCAGCCACGCGCCCAGGCACAGCGCTGGGTCTGCCTGGAGAAAGGGCACCTTCTTGTCATTCCCACTAAGATGCTGTCCTCAGCTCTGTGCCCGCCGGGCTGGGCTGCCTGGGTGGCGGGGGCACTTTTTCTAATTTGCACAGAGACCATGTTTGGTGCTGTGGGCCTGGAGCAGCACTGTTCTACCTGCTGGGGACACAGGTGAATGAGACAGGCGTGCCCCCTGCCCTCGTGAGTCTAGTGTGGGGGACGGAGTGTACCCAGGATGCCTTCAGACTGTGAGCCGTTCTAAGAAGGAAGTCAGCGGGTGCTGCTGAGAAAGAATAATGGGGGAGCCTATGCGATTTGGGTGGTCAAGGAGAGCCTCTTTGAGGAGGTGGCTTTCAAGTGGATTCCAGAAGTAGAAGGATTTGGCTTGTGAATGATGGAGAGCTGGGGTGAGGAAGGGCATTCCAGGCATCCAGAACAGCAAGTGCAAAGGCCCCGAGGTAGGAAGGAGCTGGGCGCATTCTGCGAACTGTCAAAAGAATGAAGGAGGATGCTGGAGGCCGAGGGCCTAGACTAGGCTTGGGAGGCCTGGAGTGGACACCTGGGGCTGCCTTTTCAGTTGAATATGCGATGGTGCGCTCCGCTGATAACCTGCAAGGAGGTCCAGGTACGGAACAGTGGGCGAGGCCCCAGAGGACAGGGCCTGGGGCTTACTTGGGAAGGCCTGGGATTTGATTAGCAGAGGAAGGGAAGGTCCCCCTCTGTGTGGAGGCCGAGGCCCCATGGGGCACCCACTCGTCCCAAGGCTTTCTCAGTTCCACATCCCACGGCCAGAGAAGAAGGCATGGGGGGTGGGGTTGGGGAGGCTGCTGGTGTCAGAGTGGAAACACCCTCTGGAGGAGAGCTGCCACCTGGGGCAGCAGGGGTGGGGAGAAAGAGGAGCTGAGGGGCTAGACGGATGGGCATGACTTGACGTGGGTGGCCAGGGGTGGAGATGTCCCTGAGCTGGGCTGGGTGGCTGGTGGGGTCAGGAAAGCCTTGCTCAGTGCCGGCTGAGTCACAGGCCTGTGCTGGGGCCAGGACTCAGTTCTGGGAGAGCAAGGTCCGCGGCAGGGCCAGTGGCCAAGGTCACAGCCCAGACTCCACCCAGCGTGGCTCCCAGCTTCTCCCTCACCCCATGGCCGAGCCAGAAGCCTTAGTGGGGGGGAGCGGGGGGGGGGGGGGCTGGGGCCTCTTTTGGCAGCTCTGAGCATCCATCTGTGCCTCAGTCTCCCCTTCTGCGTTCTGCTAGAATCAGGTTGGGGGAACTAGAGAGCCAAGAGGCGCGGGCAGTGGGCTGTGGTGGGGGGCTGTGGCTGTGGAGGATTTGGTATGAAATCCCCTACCTCCCCCTCCCCCATTCTCTAACCAGTGCCCTAACCTACCCACCTCAGCAGGCCCTGGGTGGCCAACATGGCCAAATCAGAGCAGAAGCTGGGCTCAGGAGACCCCTCACCCCATCCGTGGGACATGGGGGGGACCACCAACCCCCTGGGTGGAAGCCCTGGGGGTGGGGCGGGCAGGGCAGGAACATTCCAGGCTGAGGGAACCCCATAGGAAATTTGATTCCAGCTTCTGGTAGTGGGAGGGCGGAGCAAGGTGTGTGTGTGTGTGTGTGTGTGTGTGTGTGTGTTTCAACTCATGCACATGAAGTTTGTGAGTATGTGTGAGCATCTGTGTGTCCGTGTCCACGTATCTGTGTCAGCCTGTGCTCTGAGGGTCTTCCATGAAATTGCGTGTGTATGGGTGCCCCCAAGTCAGAAGTTTCTCCTCGGGCACGAGTGTGCGTGTGTGTAAGGCTCTACGTGTGTATACGGCTATGTGTGCATGTACGGCTGAAAGTACGAGTGTAAGCGGTTAGGGTGAGCGTCTGTGTGGGTGTGCGCGTGTAAATGTGTATGTGCGCGTGCACGGGTCCTCTCCTGGACCATGAATCGGGGCTGTGTGTCTCTCTGGGGGGCAGTAAGTGTGACGGTGGTTCGTGGGCGGCTGCCTGCCTGCCGGGTGTGTGTGTAAGGGGAGAAGGCGCGGCTGGCGTGGGGCCTGGGTCCGGGCCACCTCTGCCCCTGGGGGGGCTGCGGCGGGGGCGTCAGTCCCGCTCCCCGTTCCTCCCACCTTCTCCGCCCGCCGGGGGGCTCTGGCAGCGGGGCTGGCGCCTCCCCGCCCGCGGGTCCCAGGCCCCGGCGTCCCCGCCGCCCCCTCCCCTCCGTCCCCCCTCCCCCCTCCCCTCCGTCCCCCCTCCCCCCTCTCCCCTCCTTCCCTCCGTCCTCCCCAGCGCGGGTGCGGGCGGGGTGGGAGGAGATTGCGCCGAGTTTCCATTTCATACCTCGCGGCTAAACTTTCTTTCTGTGTCTCGCCTTCTCGCAGTCTGCAGCTTCTCCTGTCATCGGAAATGCCAGGCCAAGGTAAGGGGCCGCGGGCCGCAGGGCCCGGGGGGCTCGGGGACAGGGCTGGCGCGGGGTCCCGGGGACGGGCGGGGGCGGTGCCCCGGGCGTCCCCTCCTCCTCTTTGTTTATGCAAAGCCTCGGGGCCCGCAGCGTGCGCAGGTCAAGGTGAAGGCGAGGGCCGGGGGCGGGGGCGGGGCGGGGGCGGGGGCGGGGTGGGCGAGCGAAGGGATCGGGGGGCGCGGCGCGCAGTCTCGGCGGCTACCGGAGGTGGCTGGCGGGACCCGAGCTCCGAGAGAGGGGCCTTTGAAGGTATTTCCCCGGGTTCTCAAGGCGGGTGGGGTATGGAGGGGGAGGGGGATGCATTTCAATTACCCGGCGGGCCGCGCGGATTGGGCCCTTCTAGAAAAATTCGGCCTGAGGCCACAGCCGCGGGACCCCGAGGGCAGGAGGAGTGGATGGGCAGCTAGGGAATGAGGTGGAAAACGAGGTGGTGCTGGGCCTGGAAACTCCTGAGCGACCATCCCGCTCTTTATTGGCCAGGTCCCTCTTTGGTCCTCAGTTTCCCCACAGTGTTTCCTGGCTGGTCTTGGTGGGAGAGGAGAACCGCGCTAAAGCCAGAGGGACTGCTGAGTCCTGGTTGGCCAGGCTGGCTGGGCCCTTGCTGCATCCTCTCAGGCCTGGACAGAGGAATGATGGATCTGCAGGTGGCTGCTGCTTGGGGGTCATGGGGGTGGAGGGGAGCGATGACACCAGGATGCATTGTGATGGATTATTGGGGAAGGAAACTGTTCTGCTGGATGGGCTCAGCTTTCTGGAGGTGGAAATGCTGGGCCTTGCCGTCATATGCAGTGGGTCTCTGCACCGTTTGCACCGCCCCCCACCCCCCCCCCCCGGCCGCCCCCCCCCCCGCCCCCCCCTCTGCTGGAGTTCCCTGAACGGAAGGAGGCGGGAGGATGCCTCCAAAAGGAGCTTTGAGCAGTTGAGGCCCAGTATCTTCTGGTGCATCTCATGCTCTGCTTCTTATTGGCTGGGTGGTTTGGGGGAAGTCATGTGACCTCTCTGAGCCTCTGTCTCATCCTCGAGGATGTAGGAATAAGAGGTTGTTAGGAGGATGAGGCGGGATGGTGTGTATGAAGTGCCCAGCACAGCGCCTGACTACTGGTAGGCGCTCTAGAACATAGGGATGGATTCTCATCTTCCGGTGGCTCCGGGGGCTGGGTATTCCCCTGGAGGAGATGCTCTGGGAGCAGCAGGTCTGCCGGGACCCCACTTCCTCCTGAGGGACCTTGCTGGAGCAGAGTGCACAGCCTCGCTGGGCGCTCCCGATGGGCGAGCTCCAGGGCGAGGGCTCTCCCGCCAGCGGAGGTGCAGGGGGCCTGGCCTGCGGCGGCCACATCTCTACAGTGTCTGCCCCTTCCAGCTTCTGCTCTTCTGGCCCCTCAGCCTTTTCTTCCCAGGTGGGGCGTGAGCTTCTGCTTCCCCCTGCATCTCCCTCCTGGCCCTCTCCACCCAGAGTGGAGTTTTTCCACCCAAACCCCAGAACCGCCCGGTGTCCTTGCTCCTCCCCAGTCTACCTCCTTCCTCCCCGCTTCCTGCACCTGTTTCTCTTAATAACAATGAACATTTGTCCAGCGCTTTCAGCCTTAGAAAGCACTTTACATGCATTATCTGATGTTATTCTCTTAATTCCATTAGAGCGTGAAACGAGCCAAAAGATCATGTTGTTTCACAGATAAGGAGACCCTGGCACCTGCAGGTTGAATGACTCTCTCAAGGTCTCATAGTGGAATTCCCAACCATCTCTGTCCCCGGGCCTTTGCACTGCCTTCTGGTCGTCCCTTGCCCACCAGGAGGTGTGTCTTGGTCTTCCCCGGCCCCTCCCCCTTTGCCTCCATCTCTCACAGCAGCAGACATATTCAGAGAGGATAAGAGGATGAGCTTACTGGCAGGGAAGGGTCTGAGAAGGCAAATGGGGGCCCCAGAGAAGTGTGACAGAAGACGGCCCCTTGCAGTATAGCAGCCTCCTGTGTGGAGGCAGAGGGAGCCCAGAGAGGACTTCTGGGGGGCGTGGCCTGCCTGGCAGGTCTCACGTGTGCTGGGGGCTCCGAACGCCCCAGGCTGCAGCCGTGCTGCTCTGCCCACCAAGGAGGCCAACTGAGAGGGAAGACCGTGGCCCGGCAGGGCAGCGGCTGGACTGACAGATGGGACTTTTTATAGGATTTTCCTCTGTAGGAAATGGGACCCACCGGTGGTATGAGCTCCACCCAGCCGGCAGGTCTCTCCCCTAAAACCACAGCTCTTGCTCCCGCCTGCCTTCTCCTGCTGGGAGGGCGGTGCGCCCCAAGCACACAGCAGAGCTCTGTTCTCTGGATTTTATGGCCCCATCAGCTTGGAGGTCATCTCCCCATCCCCCTGCCTCTAGACAGGATTCATTAAACACATGTTTATCGAGCTCTTTCGATGTGCCGGACACTGCTCTAGGAGAACAGGACAGATTAGGCCTTTGCCCTCATGGGACTGCCATTTCATCGGGGAGATGGACAATAAACAGGCAAACAGATTTGGAAAGAAACGAGCTAGAGCAGTGGCTCGGAGAGTGATTAGGCTGGGGGGCCAAGGAAAACTTCTCAGGGGAAGCGCTGTGTGAAGTGAGACCCAAATGATGTCGGGGGAAGAGCAGGTGCAAAGGCCCTGAGGTGAGATGAGCCTGTCATGCTTGAAGGAAGGCCGTGTGGCTGGAGAGTAGTGAGCACTGAGGGCTCTGAGCACAAGAGGTGTGACTCGATCTTCACTTGGAGAAGGCCACTCTGGCCTTGCACAGGCTGGGGGCAGTGGGCCTGGAGGCTGCTGAGGTTGCCCAGGTGAGAGGGGCTGAGGACTTAGTCCATGGTGCTCGCAGGAGAGACAGTGAGAAAGGGCTAGGTCTGGGGTCCATTCTGGGGTTGAGGCCGGGGCCTGGCTGATGGGTGGGGTGTTGGGTGTGAGAGACAGAATGGGCTCAAGGATGACTCCCAGGTCTTTGGCCAGATCAGCGGGGTGCACGTGACTCCATTGGCAGAGATGGATGAGGTATGTGAGAAATTTCCAGGGAAGAGGGCTCCAGGGTTTCTGCTTTGCTGGGTCTCCTGTTTCACAGTTCTTCTCGTATAGACTGGGGACTCCATGCTGATGTTGACCCTCTCCTGCCCTCACCAGTTCAGCCCACTGTGGCCACCCCTCTAGCAAGGGGCTGGTTCTGGTTGCCTTAAGATGCTCCCTTCCAGACTGTTGCTGCATCCTGGATCCCTGGCTCTGTGGAGGCTGTAGTATTTATCCATAGCATTATGATGTAACAAAGGCCCCCCAGGTATAACTTCACTCAGCAACAAATGTTCTCTCCTACTGTTTCTGTGGGTTGGAAGTTTGGGAGTGCCTTAGCTCCCTGGCCTGGAGTCTCAGGGGTGGCAGGCAAGATGTTGGCCGGGGCTGCAGTCATCTGCAGGCCCGACTGGGGCTGGAGGACCCGTTTCCAGGGTGGTCCATTCATGTGGCTGGCGGGTCAGGGCTGGCTGTTGGCGGGTCTCGGTTCCCTGCTCCATGGACCTCTCTCACGTCATGGCGGCTGGCTTCCTCAGAGTGGGTGACTCCAGAAAGAGCAAGGTGGAGCCTCAGTGTCTTCTGTATCTTAGCCTTGGAAGACAAACACAGTCATTTGTGTAATAGCCTGTTGATTACACACCTTGTCCCCAGTGAGTGTGGGAGGGGCCCGTGTGAGGATGTGAATAGCTGGAGGTGAGAGTCAATGAGGGCCATCTTGGAGCCTGCCCACCACGGAGGCCAGAGAGAGGGCCAGGCTGAGCCGGCACGTGGGAGGCCGAGCGAGTGCGTTGGGAATCAGACGTACCTGGGTTTGAACTTGTCTCTGCTGCCTTCCAGCTGTGTGAGCTGGGTTGTAGGGCGTTTAATGCACACTGGCACATAGTAGGTGCCTTCCTCCTTTCTCGGAACCATAGCCGAAGACCAGCAAGGAGCCCAGATATTCTGTGCCCAGTTCTTTCCTGCTTAGACCTGCTGGAGAGAGAAAGCTCAGTGCTGGTGGAGGAGGGGCCTCAGTGCCCTGCTCGGAGGAGGTGTTAAAGACACGTTTATTGCACAAGGGAGGGTTGAGAGAGATGTTGCATCCTCAGCTTCTAGAATAGCGCCCGGCCCATAGTAGGGGTTCTAATGAAGAAGTAAAGGGGTGGCATGGAGGAAGGTTGAGGAACAAGGGTTTCCTATACAAGGACAGGCTGAGGGGGCGGAAGAGAGCTGGAAAGAGGAGCAGCGAAACCATTTTTAAATTCCCATCCAAAGGGCCCTCCTCCCTCCTGACACAGACACGCTCCAAGTAAGGGTTCTATCATTTGCGTTTCCCAGTTGGGGTGTGACTTCTCACTGTCAATACACAAGTTGATAAATCAGCACGTGCGTGCGTATGAGCCAGATGGAGACTTAGACCATTTCCAGCACCCGGAAGGGCCGGTGCGCTCCCCTCCCGCTCAGGGCTTCCCAGGGGTCCTTGCTCTTCTCACTTGTATCAGCAGAGATCAGCTTTGCCTTTTTTTTTGACTTCATGTAAATTGAATCATACAGCGTGTTTACATTTGTGTCTGGCTTATTTCTCGCAACATGATGTCTGGGAGGCCCGTCTGTGTTCTCAGGGGTGTCAGCCGTTCGTTCTTCTTTATTGCTACATTGTATTCCGGGATATAAATCAACCACAATTTATTTATCCATTCCGCTGTTGATTGCCACTTGGGTTGTTTCCAGTTTGGGACTGTTAGAAACAGACCTGCTATGAACATTTCATCATCTGTATCTATGGGGAGCTTTGTAATACACGGAACATTTTCACGCACCTTCTCAGTTCTCTGAGGTGGGCGGGGCGCATGGTAGCCCCATCTTACGGATCCAAAGTTGAGGCCCAAGGAGGGTAACCAGCTTGGCTAAGGGCATGGGCGCAGAGGCCGTCTACACCCTGGGACAGAGGCTGGGAGCAGGTGAGAGGGGAAGAGCGGATGAGGGCAGCGAGAGAAGCAGACAGAGAGAGGGGGCTG